GGGACCTCTGTTCAATGGTGGTGGCATCGTCAGCTTTGAAATTGCCCAAAACTGCGGATCTATCGTCTAAATGTCTCTCTTGGCAATCACTGTCAATGTTCGACCTGTTTGCACTACACAATGACGACTGACCATGGCCTTCTGTGTCTCCAGGTGGAGACCGTGGTCTACAACCTCCTTCGCAAGGCTTAGAAAGGAGGAGAGAATCTCTAGGTGGAGAGACGGCCTCTGGTAGGGCCATTCTTTCCTCGTCCGGCTCATGCTCTGATGAAACCGTCTGTACCTCACTGTATTCGACATTGTTCAAAACGCCCCGCTCAATGGCGTAACTTCGATTATATACAGTCGCAGAGTCATCGCAAAAGTCAGGACGATCGGAAATGCCTGAACCATATACGGCATGATATCTACCATCTGTGTCTCGGCTCATATCTGTCATAGTCCCCTGTTCACACGTATGGAAAACGTGCGTGGCGTGTGAACTTACTATGTGGATAAAGAGCAACACGGCTTTCATTTTGATTGAGTTCCTCTTAGGTCGAATTGCAGATTTGCGTGAATCACTGAGCCTTCTGCATGGACCTATTAGCTCACGTCTCCAGATCGATTTGAGTCCGAACAACAGACCTAGCGACCAGAGAACAGCTTGGATCTGTAAAACGATCGAAAGGTGGTCTGGCTGGATGTGCACACCGCCACTGACCATGATCTGACAAGCCACTAACTGAACGGCCATACCCATGACAAAACTCATGAAGGCCCAGTAAGTGAATTTCCCCTTTTTTGATGAACCTCTAAGAGGGCAAGCAAGGAGATATGCTTTGGCTTTTCGGCATGTTCGCCGAAATATGTCGCAGAGTGCATACAAAAAGACAAAGCTCATGCCTGCGAAAAAAGGTATGTGTGATGTGCTGCAGCATGTGTGTTCTTCGAAGTTCACCTCCATACCGCCGCTAGTGTTGTCAAGCTTCGTAGTGCCATCCAAGTCCCCACTTGCACCACGCTCACTTGGCCCATTGGCGAAAAAACAAGTCAGGATCGCTGAGACACCTGGGACCTGCCTCATATTGGTCGGATGCAAACAAACGGCAATCCTCTGTATCCCCTACGAGGCCGGTTCTATTCCTAAAAGCGATCGATTTCTGTTCGCAACATCTACAAGGTGTCGCCTTCAACACGGCGCCAAACTCTTGTGGGATGTGGGACTCATATCTGTGGTGACAGGGGCAACTATCATAGCCACGATTGTCCCCATCACAGCAACTGGTGGTAAAGTTGACAGACATAAATTGAGTTGTCATGTCACACTTTCTATTGCTCACTTGTCCAGCCTTTCGAGCGAGTTTGACCCCTCGCGCCTTGGGCTTCTGCTTGTACTTCTCTAGCGAACGGGAACTGCATCGTCCCCAAGCACTGCACTGGCGCGCTGGAGAAGTCTTGCCCTCACAGCTCTTGCCGCGGCCGACTGCTCGAATTCCTCGTTGGGCAGAAGCATTAGATGGTTCCTTGATCATCTGTGGAGAATTCTCGTTGAATGCAGGGCTTCCCTTTGGGATTGCTGCAACATAGGAGTCCACTCTGCTCTGGAGGTCCTGTATGATGGCATTCGATTTGGCCAACTGCATACGAAGTAGTTCTCTTTCTCTCTCTTCTGCAGTCATGCCTGCATCTGCCCCCGTTGTTGACTCCTTGAGTACGATCTGGTTGATCTCCTTCTGTGTCTCCGCCATGGCCTCGTTGAGAGCCCGGAGGTCTTCTTGGTGCTTGACCTTTTCTTTCTTCCGGTGCTCTTCTAAGAGGTCCAGAAATTTGCTCCATGCTTCCTGCTTCTCCTGGCGCTTCGTCCGAAGCTTGTCCATCTTGGCCAGGAGCTTCTTCTTCAGGTTCAGGGCCCTTTGTTCTTGTCTGACATCCTCCATTGGGTCCCCAGTCTGCAGCAGGTCTGTCAAGTGCTCGTCTATCGTAATAGATCTGGCCTCCAAGAACTGCCTTACTTCTTTCTTCAGCGTCGCAACCTCGCTATAGGGGTACCCTCCTTGGATGTAGAGGACGAAGCCTGCAAGGATTCGTAAGTAGGGAACAAATCTCCTCCACTTTTGCCTTGCTCTGTTTTCTCTTGCTTCTTGTTCTTGTCTGGCTTCTTTTTTGCCCCCCCCTTGAGGTATTTGCTGTTGCTGCCATTAGTTCCACCATGGCCTTTGCTTGCCCTTGCCCGAGCCAGACTATCCACCCATTGGCTGTCCAGCTGGCACTACGTACGAATGGTGTTCTCGAAGGAGTCGTCGAGCCTTCACCAATCTCTCCCTTGTAAATTGGGGCAGGTGAGTGGCCCCTTTGCTTTGCTTGATGAGCCTGCGGGCTTTGGACCTCGATGCCCTCAGCCGTCGGTGCCACGGTGGGCTCCGTGCTCTTCTCCTCGTTATGCTCAAATTGAGCAGCCAGCGTCCTCACCACCAACTTGCCGCTCAAATGGCACACGTCACAGGAAACGGTCGAATCCACGAGGGATTCTGGGGCAGAAAATACGAACAGCTAGCGTTCGCTTTGAGCCCTCTTTTGGAGCATACACGAAAGTCAAACAGGAGTTCTGAAACGATCAGAGACCCGATGGACCGCTTGGAGTCAACGGAGAGAACCGATCCGATGTATGGAGTCGACGTACTGGGAATTTGTGTTGCGGCATCATGAGTCCATCTAATAGCATCTAATAGCTGTATATAATTATAGCTGTATAATGCTATCACTATTATATCATCGACCTGTCATTTTTGGGGAGCCCATCCTTGCCCCCCTTCGTTCAAGAACAGCATGAACCATCGCATCCAGCAGTCCAGGTTGGCAACCACTGGATCCTTGGCAGATTCCTTGACGGCAGCCTGCTACACCGTGATTCAGTCACTGGCTTCAGACGTATAGACTTGACTTGAAGACTGGATCGGCCAAGAAAAAAGGACGTGAATTCCAGGGAAACATGTAACCAACAGCTGGGCTGATTGGGGCATTGGGGCCACGCAAATCCACCGTTTGGAAGCAAGAACATGTTCTTAATCTTTGGGCTGGTTTTTTGGCTTATTCGATCTTAAATCCACTTCTGGAGGTTGATTGCTTCATTAGGGGTAGCCGGGTAGCCTCCGAATGATTTTATATGGACTTTTGCGGGTGTCGACCGGCACGATTCTTGAACTTCATCGCTCGCTGATGTCTGAATCACGAGTCCAGTACGGATTCTTCTGAGGTTCCAGAGCAAGTACATTGGCCAGCTTGTGGGAGACTGCAGCTTGGTGAGTGTTTTGCCATCCCCACCCACCCCGGAATGATAAGGGGACTGAAAGCCCCCCCCATCTATACATTGATATGTTTTGCTTGTTTTTGTTGGCGTTCGGTTCGTTTTTTGGGTTGGAGCGTAACGCGGGAGTGTGGATGTGCGAGACGTGTGTTAGAGCTTTGCAGTGTAGGAGCTTTTAAAGGGAGACAGTGAATGAGCTTAGATAGCTTTAGATAGCTTTAGATACGGGTTTTCTCCTTTCAACAAATTCCTGTAGGGGATTGACTGGGAATAGACACAAGTGTCCTTGGTGTCCATTGTCCATGGGGAGTGGAATGATAGATTTGCTGAAGATTGCAGTGACAAGCATCGAACATAAGCTTTAGATCTTTAGATACAGTATGCCGGCCGGGCCCTGTTTACAACCTTTATCTTTACATAACATCTCACCTCCCAACCCTGGCAATGCGGCAAACCAAGAATCCTCATGTCGGATGAATTCGATCCACCAGCTGGCTCTACACAATTGGAGGATCCTTGCAGGCTCTGGAGAAAAAATAAGCAAGTTGCACTGCAACGAACAGTTGCTTGCATCCCTGCATCCCACAAGATCGCGGAGTCGGCACTGGCGAGTCAAGAGAAGGAAGCTATTGATGGACCCTTGGGAAGTTGATTGTTTCCTCTCAGAAATCCACTGCAGTTGCTTTCAGGTTTCCATCTTCCTCCCACCAGGTGGTGTACCATCACAGATAGTTTCTGGACACCTTTGGAAGGTCCACGGTGTCTCTTCGTCCGAAAGAGTCCACAAGGTGACCCTGAAACCAAGATTTCTGGGAGGGAAGTACCCTGCACGTGGCCACAATCAGATTGCTAGTTCTCCACAAAGAGGACCAATGAAAGACAAATCGATTTGTTTCTGACAAAACTGAAGGCAGAATCTCCTGAGTACCAGGGCACCTGGTGGACAGCCGCGATCCGAGGCGTGGTGTTCCAACCGTCGAGCAATTTGAACAACCCGGTACAGGTTTGCTTGCCCGTCTCCAGCGCAATTCCAGCTGCTTGGTGTATGGAGACTTTGCACAGACCACAGGCTTCTACGGTTCGAAACGTACCTTTTAATTAGCTCTATAGGTAAGATGTAACGACAGGTTGACCCGTCCACTACATGTTGTTCTTTCCCCTTTGTCGCCAAGTTGCTTTTTTTTCTGCTCGAGGATGACTACGGATGAAGAGATATAATTGTGTCAAATGAAGATGTCATGTGTGAGTGAAGGTTGACCCCGTCTCTCTGCGGATGTTTTCCCTCGAACTGGAGGGGCCCTAACGTCGTGCGAGCTCACTTTCGTTCGGCCATGGAAAACGTATTTGAGCTGCTTGCTTGACCGTAGGTTCCCGCTACCACTCACAGTGGTAACGGAGCCAGGTCGCTCCAGGTCGCCCAATGCCCGAGTTCGACTCCGCCGAAGAAGAAGAGACCTCGACACGAAGACCACCTAGAGACCGAAGGGCGCTTCAGAGGACAGCTGCTGATGGTGAAGAGCCAGAGCGGGAGCGAGACGCTCCCAAAGACAGGGATCCGCCTCCGCAATATATATGACGGACTGGACCCTGAGGGGACTTTCAGGACATTCGAAAAGAGTGTCAGGTTGTGGTGCTTTGAGACGGACATCCCTCGACGGAAGCAGGGGGGCAAAGCTTCTTCGAGCGTTGTCCGGCATGGCACAGTTTGGAAGAGATGACCTTTGAGGAGATAGCCACCGAAGATGGAGTTAGAAACATCATGAGTCGCCTCAAAGAGTTCTGTTTACCCCACCTGGAGGTGTCGCTGCCGAGGGCTTTCGAGACTGCCGTGTATGGGAAGGCACGACAGTCATCCGAGGGCTTTCCAGAGTACATAGCCAGGATGGAGAAAGCTTTCAGCAGGCTGAGCAAAGAAGGAGTGGACCTTCCTGAGGGGACCTCAGGATACATCCTTTACAGGCAAGCTTCTTTGAGCGAAGCCCAAGACCAGAGGCTGCTCACCTGGTGCGATGGGAAGTATGACAAATCATCCATCGTGAAGGCGCTCAGGAAGCTTGACAGAGTGATCAAAGAGACAAAAGGGAAGAGCTCCTACATCATCGACACCGAGGACGCCTTTGAGAACAAAGCGTACATCCAGGCTGAAGAGGAAGATGGCGAGGACTATATCTTTGTTGCCGAAGGGGACTTAGACGCCATCTACTCACACAACTTGCGCTCGCTGTCGACGCGCTTCCCGCGACCCTTCACCGTATTGGTGGGTGTCCGGGAGTGGGGTCAGTATCACTTTGTCGGATAAAGACGTTGCAATGAGGCTACCATGTGAGACAACTATCTACGTGAAACCGAATGTCCGCGCTGCTCGTAGGGTGCTCAAAGGTAAATTCCTAATTAGGTGCTGGGATCGTGACTGAATCAAGGTCGCCATTCTTGTTCCACACTTTGCGGAGATTGCGACGATATTTAAATTTCTGTTCGAATGTAAGCGATTGCGCAGGCACAATAGGAAAATGAGTGACTGCGTGACGCATGGGTACCAGGCCATCAGGATGGTACGGTGGCTTACAATGCAAATGTTCTGTGTAAAGGACAAGTGTCCGTTGAACGGCGCCACAGTTAGGGAGTTCCGGACGGGATGCAAAGCCACCTGTATATGATCGTCCCCATCCCACCTGTGTGAGGCTAAGCGACCCGGTTTTAGAATATTTGGGTACCAAGGGTGTATCGGCATAGCCTTGAAGGTAAAGGACAATGGTACGAAAGGCTTCGGCTTGTTCCCGTAAAGATCTCCGAGTGATAGGGAGGGCTAACACACAAGGATCTTGCCAATGGACAGGTTGCGCACGAGCTTGGCCAGTCTGGCGAACCCATGTCGGAAATTGTAGGCCTGTGTTGACAATGAATGCCAAGGCTAGTTCATGCCATGTGATACCTGTGTCAGCCTCAAGGTCTGGTGGATGCACGTCCGGGTCTGGCCATTTTAGGCTAGCACAGAATCTTAAAGACAAGGTCAGCATACTGATTTCCCCATACACATGCAGTGATAAAGGCTGGGTGAACCAGAGGGGTCAAACAGACGGGAGCATGCGAGATCTTATACAATTCGCGCTGGCGGAACAGGGTACCCCAATCTGCCGTGGGATCATGATGGGTGGGACCAGAGGTCTTTAGAGACTGGGCCTGCTTAAGACTAGCATGATGCTGGTTGAGATCAGCGAGGTAGTTCAAGATGGCCTGAGTCTGGTCAAACTGATCGCGATGCCAAATGGCAGCTGTCTGGAACAAAGAATGCACAAGGGTATGATCAGTTTTACGTGCCATAACCGCGGCATAATCAGCCCATGAGTTGCCATGAACATCATCGCGTTCCGGGCCTGGGGGGACATCCTGAATATTCTGATGAGATCGAGCCTTTCTAAGGACAAATTTTGACGGAGACCACGAATGTGCGATGATTTGAAGTAAGTCAGCATTGGCCAGGCGATGCCAGGAGGGATAACGAGCTGGTTGGGTAATGTGGCCAATGGTATTGATGACATACTGGGAATCGGTCGTAATGACGACTTGTTGAGACCAATTGTTGTTAGCGGCGTGCTGAATAATCCACGCGACGGCCGCGAGTTCAGCTCGAGCTATGGATTGTGGACCTTGGACATGTTGAATCTTGATGGTAAGGAATGGATCTTGGATGGATTCGGGTCGAAACTGGATGACAGACCACGCGGCTCTTCTGGTCTCCGGGTGAAGGGGGGTATCTGCTGACCCGTCGGTGTAAAAATATAGAACATCTGCTTCCTGGCGAATGTGCGTGTGGCCGGTGTCCTGGCCTCGCGCCGTGAGTAATTGACGCAATTCGGTGATGTGGGGGAATGCGCCTGGGAGGGGGAGCCATATTTTATGTGGATTATTAAGCAAATAGGTCACTGCTCGTGGATGTCGATCTCGAATCTCCTGAACAGCTGGGCATTCAAGTTGCTGATGCGTGTGAGTGTCGAGTTGGTCGCAATAAGGACAGCGTGCATCGGTGGTAGCAGACCACAAAGCCTTAACGGCACCTACCTGATAGCCGCCGGTTAGGTTATAGGCAATTGAGCGGACTGCAGCGGAAGGCATCTTACGCAAGACCCGGGAGAGGATCACGAAGTCAAAGGGATGATCCATGACTCCCTTTCTATGGCAGATATTTCGATTAATCTGGTAAGCCCAAGCCAAACGCAATTGTTGACGGATAATTTTGAGGGCATCATATCGAACGGAGACAGATAGATGACCGTCAAGAGTCAGACGACCATCAGGGGCCAGGGACCAACCAACATGACGAAGATATCGGGCTAAGGCCCCTGCAGGCCCAATGGCGGGACCCTCATGCTGCGTGACGGCCTGAAGGAATTTAAGTGCCAAGTCTGGATTTACATGAAACATACGACGCAAAAAGGCCAGTGCATACCAATGACGCCATCTACTCAGAAGAAGAGATGTTGGAAGCACTGGCAAGTTACAAGCAAGTCAGAGAAGCTTTGAAGAACCAAAGAAACGGAAGAGGCTACTACGGCCGCGACTCCTTCAAGGGCAAGGGCTTTGGTGAAAGGCCGTGGCAAAGAGGGAAAGGAAAAGGAAAACAAAGGGTGCATGTCGAGCAGTTGAAACTCCGCACGCGCTGTTGGCGATGCGGGGCACTTGGCCACTTGAGTAGAGAGTGCACCAACCAGAACCCGGACAAGCCAAAGAGCAGCAGCACTTCAACGGCGCCCTCTCAAATCTCCGGCTCGTCATCCAGAGCTGGTCTCTTTGTAGTGCAGGGGAACGCCATGTCGGCAGTTCAGAGTGTGCAAAAGATTTTTATTTTGAAAGTGGTGAAGAGCACACTGCACGTCGAAGGCAGGCACCAATCCGCCTCACAGTGTCTCATCAACCGTCCCTCAGACTCGTCCGAGTACAAGGTTGATGCAGCGGATTCTTTCTGTGGGATCGTCACTAAATCCGAGGTTGGGGTTGTAGACACTGCAGGTGGCTTGGTAGGCACCAAGGCACTTCAACGACTTGAACACCGATTACAAGATCATGGGCTTAAGATCAAATGGGTCCCCAGGCAATCGCTAGCCAAAGGAATTGGAGGACAAGCTCAAGTCGTTGGAACTGCCATGGTTCCGTTGGGTATAGCGGGATTGAATGGTTTGCTGGAAGCCACAGTGGTATAAAGGTGAAGTCCCTCTCCTATTACCAGTGAAGCTGTTGAAGGGCTTGCAAGTCGTTGGTTTTTTTAAGCAGTACAAATATATTTTACCAAGAGAAGGCATTGAGCTGCCACTGCATGAAATGCCAAGCGGACACGTCACCATCGACATTTTGCAGTTTCCTTCCGGTGGATTTCGAGTTCCAAACGAGGCACCTTTTTCAGAAGAAGATTTTGGTTGGAGAGAACCTCAACGAGACATGTTGGCTCAATTCTCTCAACATCCTCGTGCCCAGGTTTTGGAGAAACCGTGTCCCACACCACTCGACCATGATGGCTGGCATCGTCGAGCGCTTGGGCAGGGCGATGGGGAGTGTGGCAGAGAAACCTCCCAAGTCGGAGGACGTGACTATGAAAGGACAAGCTCGAAGACCCAAGCTGGCACTCAGGAACTGGAGGGTGATCATGGACAAAATCTTCATCCTCATGCTGTTCGTCGAAAGGCGAAGCTTGGTCTACGAATGGTTCCCCTCGCTCTCACATTCGGAGCAATCTATGCCTCTGTCAAAGCAGGAGGAGGACAATCTCGAGACCGCCTACAGCAAGATCATCCTCACTGCCAAGCCTCTCTCTGCCCTGAAGAGCAAGGAAGCACCTACGGTGTCCGCCAGCACTTGCATCCACCTGAAGGCTCAGCTCAAGGGAGGGGGAAACAAGTCCGCTTCCTACATCACCTGCAAGCTATGCCACAGCAGGTGGGAATCGCCAGTGACCGCAGCGGAAATCAAGGAAGAATTCAAGAGAGGAAAGAAGGGCCTCTTGAGCCAAGAAGGGAAGGCGCTGATGACAGAAGAACCAAAGAAGAAGAACTATCAGGACTCCACCAACCTCGCTCGGGACGCGAACGACCAAGCGATCAGGGAGATCCGGAAGTATATGAAGGAAGCGCAAGAAGAGCGTGCGATGCGTCAGCAAGACCTTCTGGCAGAAATGAACACTCAGAAGATTGCAATGAGAGAGAAGGAGGTGCAGATGCAGGCGATGATGCACGCAGTGATGAAGCAAAAGGAGGAGCTCGAACGCCTGATGGACAAACGCCCTCAAGAGGAACAGAAGAAGACTCAAGGAGCGATGAAGCTGGAGCCGGGAGGAGAACCTCTTTGCCATTGCAGGGTGTTTGCAATCAAGTTGAGAAGCCTGATGGAGGACCGTCCGGAGGAAAGACACTTCTGGACATGCAGGATGGGCCAATGCGAGTTCTTTCAATGGGAGGGAACGGTGATCACCCTCCTCATCCGAAAGTGCAGTCCATCCCATCGGAGACGAGCTTTGCTATGGTGGACAAGGCATCCAGCGCTCCAACGGAACGCAAGAGGAGGAGCAAGAGCCCAAGGACCAGTCGAGGAAGCTATGCGGCCCAGAAGAAAGCGGAGGAGACTCTCATCATCGACAGCGACTGAAAGAAGACATGCGGGCGCTGGCGAAGAGCAGAAAAGCGAGAAGGGCTCTAAGAAGAACGCAGGCCAAGATCCACGAACACTTCGAGGCCGATGTTTGCTTTCAAGTCGAAGTGAGAGAAGACGAATGGGAAGAAGTCGAAGGAATAGTGCCCTACAAGAAGAAAGGCCTGTTAGAGTCAAAACCAAGATGAAACAAAAGACTTGGGCAGAAGACGTCTATGGGTTCGAAAAGGAGACCCAGTTTAACAGAAAACAAAGGAAGTTCGTGATGAAAGGGCTGACAAAGGTCAGCGAAGTGTTTTCTCCTCCAAGGATTGCTGAAGAAGCGAAGAACCAAGGACTGTCAGCAGGAACCTCTTTTGATCTTCTCACAGGCTGGAACCTGTCGGACCCTTCCCGCAGGAAAGAGATGTGGAGGCGGTTGAAAGAAGAAGATCCAATACTCCTCATGTTGTGTCCGCCGTGCTGCGCTTTTTCCATCCTCCAAGCCCTGCACTACCCGAAGATGGACTGGGAAGTGGCATGCTTCCTATTACTCCTGGGCGTAGAGCACCTGGAACTAGCCATGAAGTTAGCAGAATGGCAACACAAAAGAGGAAAGTATTTTCTGTTTGAACATCCTGACACCGCCAAGTCTTGGGAAGAAGAAAATGCAAAGAAGATTGAAGAGCTGGAAGAAGTTTGGACCACCACGACTGACATGTGCATGTATGGAATGAATGTCAGTGGAGAAGAGGAGTGACAAGAAACACTTCCACGTTCCAACACTTCGTGGACTTCCTCACAAAGCCCAAGAATACCCACCAGCATTTTGCGCTGAGGTCATCAAAGGGCTCAAGAATCAGCTGAGGAAAGACGTCAGTCTCTACCACAAAGAGAAAGAAGTATGGGCTCTGGAAATTCTGGCTCAAGAAGACGAAGAAGAAGAAGAAGAAGATTTAGACGATGCACTCGATAAGGAGATGGAGAAGGAAGAAAAGAAAAGAATGAGAGGAGAAGAGGAGCCCATGCACCGCATCACCGAAGAAGAGAAGCTGTCAGTGATGAAGCTTCACAGAGGACTAGGGCATCCACAAAGATCAGAATTCGTGAGGTTTATGAGAGCTGCCAGAGTCAAAGAAGAAGTGATCAGGTGGGCCTACAAAGAATTTAGCTGTCCAGCGCGCGAAGCGAAGCAAAGACCCAAGGCGACCAGGCTAGGCATCGACTTGATTTTCCTTCCGGAAGTCGGAGCTGGCAAGATGTTTCCCGCTTTGTCCATGGTGGACTAGGGCAGCAACTACCAGAGGGTAGAAAGACAAGCAACCAAAGACCATATGGAACACCTTTTGGTCCACATCAAAAAGAACCTTCGGCTTGCCTGAGGTCATAGTGGCAGATGCAGGAAGAGAGCTCGCCTCACTCATGCAAATGGCTGCATCCCATGGAATCGTCACTCAACCCATTGCAGCCAAAGCTCCGTGGCAAAACGGAAGAACAGAGCGGCATGGGCACCATTTCAAGGAATTGCTGGAGAAGCCACGGGAAGAAGCTGTCATCACCACGAGAGAAGAGCTGCAGCTACTCATGCAAGAAGTAGAGATGGCCAAGAACAGGTTCAGCAATCGAAGTGGGTTTTCCCCTGTCCAACGACAGATAAGTCAATGGCCCCGAGTGTCAAGCACCCTCCTGGGAGATGACGTCATAGACCCAGGTCTCATGAATGGGGCAGTGGTGGACGACATGGAGAGAGTGCTCGAGATGAGGAGGATTGCCCAAAAGGCATTTGTCGAGCACAACGCCAAGGAAGCATTAAGAAGAGTTGAAGGAGGAAGAAGCAGGCCACCACAGGAGTTCAACGCCGGGGACTATGTCTTCGTGTGCAGAGTCCCAAGGCAGAAGAAAAAACAAGAAGGAGGAAGCCCAGCAGCGAGAACACTCCCAACAAAGCCACCTGGGTAGGACCAGGCACCCTCATAGCCATCGATGGAGCTAGTCTTTGGGTGTCAATGTTCGGTGAGCTACGGAGAGTGGCCAGGACAATGTCGAAGAGCCACCAACATCGAGAAGCAAGGCATAGAAGAAGTGATGAGAAGCTGCCAAGACCTGGTCGAGGATTTCAGGAGATCCTCAAGCAGAAAAGGATATAAGGACCTCAGAGGAGAAGCCAGGCCTGAAGACCACGAAGAAGAACAGGAGGAGAAAGAAGATGAAAGACCGAAGAAAAGAGAACGCGAAGAAGAGGAAGAAGAGATGCAAGAAGAAGATAGAAACCAAAGAAGGCGAAGAGAAGAAGAGCTTGAATACTCGCCTGAAAGAATAGACACCCCAGATGAAGGTGAAGGTGGTCGAAGTGGTGCCATAAGCTCCGAAGAGGTTGAACCAGAAGAAGAAGCGGAAGGAGCCACCAGGCCGGCTACACCAGCAACACAAGCAAGGACTCGAGAGGAAAGAGAAGAAGGAGTCTGTGAAAGATTTCGCCAAAGCATGATCGAGTCAGCCCAAAGGGCCAGAGCTTTGGATGGGATCCCTCCCATGTCAGGACCACTGAGAATCAGACCAAACAGAAGCCAGGCGAATCCTTACTTTCAAGAATGGTTCATATCCTCACTGGAGGAACCAGAAGAAGAAGAGTGGCAAGAGAGAAGAGAAAGGTTGAGAGCTCTTGGGTCCATACCAAAGAAAGACTACTGGGAACTGGACCTGAAGGAAAAGAAGCTCAAAAGCACCACGTCACCAAAAGAAGAGCCAAGTTCAGCCCTCAAGGAATGAAGGGGATCCCAATCCCACTCAAGTCATTGGGAGCCAGGAGAACGAAGATGAAGCCTCTGCTCCAAGAAGAAGAAAGAGAAGAAGAGGAGGACAACTGGCTCAATGGAAAGCGAGGAGGAAGAGAAGAACAAGGCTTCTGGTGGAAAGGAACCACGGAGTTCGAGGTCCTCTTGAATGAAGAGAAAAAGGACACCACATCCCAGAAGATAGAAGTCTGGGCAACAGAGAAGCCAGGAGGAGGAAATCTGAGCGTCGAGGTGAACCTCGCGAAAGAAAGCCCAGAAGACCAAGAAGAATGGAAGATCTCTGACGCCTCAGAGTTCAAGAAGATCCAAGAAAGTAAGGCCATTCAAGTCCTCGACGTTGAAAGCTCCAGGAAAGTAGAAGAGGAGCTAAGGAAAGAAGGAGCGCTGGACCGCATTTTGCCGTCCAGAATGGCAAGAAAATATAAGCCAGCCGAACAGCCAGGAGAAGCTCCTTCGAAGAAAAGTCGTTTGTGCACAAGAGGAGCTGGACAGATTCAGCCCAACAGTGAGCACCATGAATCTGAACGTGATGCTCTAAATAGCAGGCTCGATCCATGCATCTTCAAGTACTACAACAACGAAACTGGAAGGCGTGCTAGCAATAGAAGTAGACGACATCCTGGCATGCGGAAAAGGAGAGTTCCTCGAAAAGATGAAGACCTTGAGAGAAAAGTTCACCTTCGGCAAATGGGTGAACTTAAGCCAAGAAGAAAAGGGAGCATCTTTCAATGAGAGAAGGCTCAGGCAAAGAGCCGATGGAACCCTGCTCATCGACATGCAGAAGTTCG